GAAGCTCATCTCGAAAGAGAAATTATTAAAAAAATAAATAAATTTAGTAAAGTTTAGTACTTTTCGTAAAGGCCGAATTTCCAAAAACCCTTTTGTACACCTTTCTAACTTTTCATCAGTGACCCACATTCCGAATTTCGGAATTCTGGCTTTTTCCGTTTGCCTAATATAATGGTTATTAGGCAAACGGGATGCGAAGATTTATCAGTCACTCACTTATCACGAAGCTCTTTTATATAGCTAGTTTTTACATTGTTGATACATCATTTGTAATTTGATTCTACTATCTACCTAAGTATCTTCCATAAAGTGTGTATGATTTGACAGAGACTAATGGACCCAAGATATTGTTTATTTTTGTAAGATAGGATGTGTCAGAATTTATGTACTTTAACAATTAGTTTTACGACAATTCTTACAATCATTTTTAAACCTGTACAGAATTTTAATTGATTTTATCATCACCACAATATATGAAGTAATATTTTACTAAGACCAGAATTAACAATCTAACCAGGTTGTAAATATTGATGACGAAGTCATCTGGCTTTTTTCATTAAGCAAATGGAATGAGATATTGCTCCCCACAAAACAAATATACAATTATAGATTCGTTTCAATGTTTTCACATTTATATTTCAAAAATTAAAATTTCACATACATAGACATATATCATGACCCTTCCAATAGTTACAAACTGAATGACAGGCAACCTCCAATGAAAAATGTCAAATCATCACATTTACAATTTAACCTTTTGCAGTTCTTCCCTTACAGTGATAAAAAAATTCTCTATTCTGAATAGTTTAGAACAACAACAGACAACAAATTACTTATTAGCATATAATAACAAAAATAATATTTAACAATGTGCTAATCACAACATTTATTACGTATTTTTCTGTGTGTGTGTATGTATGTTTGAGAATATTCGTCAGCGGCACAACGTCTATGACCGGGTAAATGGGGAATCACCTTTTGAAAAATCGGAAAATACTAAAAATATTTTTGAAAGTAATTATTGCATGTCGTGTTGTCGAAATGAAAGTATCTTAGAAGCGCAACAAATTACAGTAATAAAACTATATGACTGTCAATTTGGGATTCTTGATTGAAAAATAATATGAAGGTATTATTATTAAACCAAAGATGATATAAAGCTGGGATTTTGGAAATTCGTAGTAGGAGGATCTAAAAATATTAAACATGGTAAGAAAAGTAATATATTTGGACGGGTTCGAACTTTATTTTAAAGGATCTATAATTAGGATATTTAATTGTAGATTAGAAATCGTAATGGATTAGGACAGATGAGTTACAAAAGTGAACGGATAGAGATGAAGAACTTATATTTGGAATTAAAATTACTGTTAGAGTAGACTACAGGATTGAAATAGTACTGGAAACTTGAATTTATTACTAAATTTGGTACAACTTGGACTTTGGTGAATCGGTAGAACTGGTATAGTTAATGTTGCAAATTATGTTACTGTGGGAGTGTAGGACTGAGATATGTTTGGAATATGGGTACAAAAATTACAAAATGATACCAAGTTAGGTACAATTTGGTCTTTGGCCAACAGACTAAATGGTACTAAATTTAGTGGTTGTGTTGGTATGGAGGTTGTCTTCGAAATGTGTACTTAGGTGTTCAAAAAGTGCTGAATGGAACTAATTGTAGAACCTGTACGTATTTGCTAAAATATACACTATTTAATCTGTCATCACTATTTAATCTGTGTAATCGAAATAAAAGAGAGATTTCTGATAAAAGTTCTTATGTGTATGAAGAGTATTAAAAATACTTGATATTAGAGGTAGGAATAGAGGTGGAATTCAGAATTATAATATAACAAATTATATAGGGTAAAATTCTAAGACGATCTAACTATGTCCGCCCGTCCGTCTATTGTCATCACGCTGACGGTTGTCTTTTGTCTGCAAGCAGGTCAAGTTAAATGATGGGATATATCGGTCCACGTTTAGGAATTTGGTACATTGGGTTCTTATTGGGTACTAAATGTATCCACAAAAAATTATAAATATAGGTCCACTTTTTCTGGTAGCCCCCATATAACGGTACCCCCTAATTTTCAGTATTTTGGGGGTTTTGATCGTATTTTCCACCGAATTTTCTGTAATTTAGTATTTTGAGTTCTCAATAGGTACCAAATCCCTTCACAAAAAAATTATAACTATAGGTTAATTTTTTCGGATATCCGCCATATAAGGGTACCCCCCAATTTTCGGTATTTTGGGGTTCTTGAACTTTTTTCAACCGAATACGCTGAAATTTGGTACATTGGGTTCTTAATAGGTTCCAAATCTCTCCACCAAAAATTATGAATATGGGTCAATTTTTTCGGATAGCCCCCATATAGGGATACCCCCAATTTTCGGTATTTTGGGGTTCTTGAGCGCGTTTTTCAACCGAATTTGGTGCAATTTGGTATTTTGTAGTCGTATATGGTAACAAATCTCCCTACCAAAAATTATTAATATTCGCGCCCTTTTTGGCCTAGTCCCCATATAACCCCCTTTTTAATATTAAAACAGTTATGTGATTTGTTCCGCGTTTTGAGTTTGGTTCTAAGACTCTTTTGTAATCATTTCCCCTTCGGAGGATAGAGAGATAAAAAAATTAGAACGTAAGGTTCGATAATGAACTATAGCCGCATTTAGAACTAGCCCCTGATTGGAAGTTTCAGAAGGAGTGGACCAATATTCCCCACCTTCGAATTTGAACTAAGCTTGGAAGAAATAATAAGATGGGCAAAGTTCGGATGAAATCTAAATTTTCTGAAACGGATTTGGTCCAAAGAAACATGGGGCCTAGAACCAATATTTCGATGAGGCACTTTTTCACCGTGTTAAAGTGTATACACCCTCATTAGCCATAAGGCTGATTCTAAAATTTGTATTATAGTTCACATAATCCGTTTTTAGAAATGTCGGTGTAGGTCCCCTTTTTGGTATGTTCCCTATATTTTCATTTCTAGTAGCTGTCAATATATCTATGGTGGAGGGTATCCAAAGTTCGACACGGCCGAACTTACCGCCTTTTCACTTGTTTATATTAAAATAGTTGTCTGATTTGTTCCTCATTTTACCTGCGGAGGATATCGAGATAAAAAATAGAACGTAAGGTTCAATAATGAACTATAATGAGGTACCAGAAGCAGTGGACCTTTGGATCACCATTTTGACAGTTTTTGGTGGGAGGTACCAGAAGGAGTGGACCGATATTCCACATCTTCGAACTTGAACTAACTTTGGAAGAAAAAATAAGATGTGCGAAGTTTAAATGAAATCCAACTTTTCTGAAACGGATTTGGTCCAAAGAAACATAGGTCTAGAACCAGTACTTCGATGAGGCACATTTTAATTGTATCAAAGTATATACACCCTCATTAGCCATAAGGCTGAGGGTATAAATTCATCCATATTCATTAAAAATAGCTGAAATTGGTATTTGGTATACATTATGGTCTACATAGTTCCACTTTTTGGTATGTTACCTGTATTTTCATTTCAAGTACCTGTCAGTATCTATGGTGGAGGGTATCCAAAGTTCGCCCCGGTAAACTTAACGCTTTTCACTTGTTATCAGTAATATGCAAGAATTTCAAGAAATTTCCCCATGGTCTTCCAATATAAATTTTTGAGTATTATTATTTTACACACAGTATTATTTATTTTACTTTTTAGAATGTGGTGTACCATAGCTCCAATATATCTGATTTCATTCAAATAATGCACTACGTTCGATTAAACAAATACTTACTAAAATGAAATATACCATGGGACAATATTACAAAACATGAAATTATGACATATTTACCTGAATATTTCCCATAGATTTTCCCATTTTATGAGACATTCTATAACTGGTTTAACGACTACGATAAATTAATTACATCTCTCCGATCTGTCATAACTGTGCCGCTCGTTCGTTTGCTGTGAAAGATGAGCAATTGAGATATTGATGGTGCGGCGTCGATGGTAGTGTGGTGGTTTTCCCAAAGTAATAACACGCTCAAAATTAATTATAGCCATTTTTTGTTCGATTGGAATATCCACTCCATTTGTTAGATGCTTGAATGAAATTTCTAATTTACGTTACATTTCGTATGGTTGAGTTGTCAACGACATTTGTTGCGAACTACACATATGCAATTGTTTATTAAATTATAGGTATTGACTTCGTATCCCCATCTTTATATGGTCATGGTGTCTATGGCGGTAATGGGGTCCATAACCTACCCCAAGGATGCAGAGGCGAACACTGTGGCTGTCCAACATATGGTGGTGGTTTCGGTTATTGTTGTCAATATAGGCCCACGTTTTGGTATAGCTCTCCCAAATATAGCTCCCATTTTTCAACCGATACATAGGGTGAGGGTAAACAAATTTGCACATAATTTTGAAGTTAGGTCCATTTTAGGTATTTTCATATCGAAAACCGCAAAGACTTTCAAAAGATTTAAAATGTTTTGAAAACCCATCTTATGATGAATAATCGAACTTACCTTTAGTAGTTATTTCCCATAGGGTATACACGATTCTACCAAAGTAAACATAGATCCTCCAATGTATTCATTGATGACGTTATAATTTAGCTTGTTACTGCCGACTCTTTTCTCATTTGCTTTCCGAAACCATCCATCCATCCACCCTCTACATACAAATTGCATGCGATTCCCATTGAATTTTAGAATAAAATAAATGAGGCCCAAACAACAATATTAGTCCGGCTCAAAGAAGAGTTTGTGTTTTTATATGAGGTGTTGTGTTTCTGTGTGAGTGTCTGCTACTGTAGGTGTTATGTGAGAATCAATTGTGGCATGCCTAGAATATTTGATTTTAACAATCTGACTATAAATGGCAAACATTTTACCAGCAGGCACTTCAGTTCATTGTAACCTTTCTAAATAATCAAATAACTTCTTAATTTCGTTCGAAATTATTTTGTATCGCAAAAAAAAACAAATCATAGATCCGGTTCGAGTTTTAAGGAGAGGATAATGAAGTGTTTTATTGTCTTGGCTTTATTGGTGGCTACGGCCACTGCCACACCCACTCTTCATAAATTGAAGAGTAAATTGTTGGGCGGAGGTTTGGGTGGTGGCATTGGTGGTGGATTTGGAGTTGGTTATGGTGGAGGCGGCGGTGGCGGTTATGGCGGTGGTGGTTATGGAGGTCATGGTGTTTATGGCGGTGGTGGAGGTTATGGAGGCCAAGGTTATAGCGGTGGCGGATATGGAGGTCATGGCGGTTATGGTGGCGGCGGTGGTTACAATAAAGGCAGCCAAGTTATTGTCGTAAAAGAAGTTCCCGTTTACACTGTTGCTGTCCAAAAAGGAGGTGGTGGTGGTGGATATGGTGGTCATGGCTATGGCGGTGGTGTTGGAGGTGGTAACTATGGTGGCCATGGAGGTTATTCCGGTGGCCAAGGTGGTTACGGCCAGGGTGGTTATGGCGGTGGTCACAGTGGTGGTTGGGGTGGCAATAGCGGAGGTGGTGGCTGCAACACTTGCGGAAATCAATTGTATGGTGGTGGCGGTGGTAATAGCGGTTCCTATGCCACAGCTTCTGCTCAAGCATCTGCATCCAGTGGCAGCTACTCCAATAGTTGGTAAATTTCAATTTAAGAAATTCAAATAATTTTAAATAAATTCGATTTATTGCGTTCTAAAAAAATAATCTTTAATATTTGAAACGAAATTAAGAAAATATTGTGTAACTGTGAGACTGTTTCCAAAATTATCACATTGTAAATCTAACTGTAAAAATTTAAATATATGTGAAGGTAATAATGTGAAAATAAATTAAACAAATACAATTGTGCATTGACTTAAATAGTGGGAAATATAAAATACCTTAAAGAAATATCAGAATCACGTAAAGATCCGTTATCAAAGTGGAGACATGAATTGGGTATTGTGTCATCCGAATTTTATCATAGTCGTTCATAGTTCGAATAGAGAATTTTTATCCTCGAAGTGAATGAACTGCAAAATTGCAGACATTCAGGTTGGACAATCCGGCTAAGACCTTCAGCATATCACACAGGGTCCTAGTTATAGGACTATGTGAAAATATTTTTTGTTGGCAAAGCATAAAAATATCTAAATTCGAATAAGTTATATGAAGGCTATGTAAAAAAACATAAACCTTTACTGAATATTTTTTTCAGCATAGTTATTCGTTCTGTTGAAAAATGTCGGAAACGGACAGCGTTGTTATGAGGGGGTATACCAAAACATGGACGTATGTTGAAAATGTCCTAAAAATATGGTTTCCACTCGCAAAATGCCAAACTAACGGAATGCGGTAAAAATCTTCAAAATACAGTATTTTTGGGAGGTTTTGAGGGTATTTTTATGGTGGTATATGGTGGCAAATCACAAAAATGATCAAAATTCGCTCCATTTTAGGGGTTGCCGCCATATAATCCTCTTTTTATACCCTCCCCCATAGTATGGGATGTATATTAGGTTGAGGGAAAAGAAATTCATTCATATTGCCTCTCTCATAGAAGTCCTGCTCTTTATTCGAATTTACACTAATTAAATAATGTCCCTACAAAAATTCAAGTGAAAATCTCAAGAACTCTTGAAAATATAGCCGAGTTATCGTGTCAGCATCAAGTGACGGCTAAAGGGCTTCTCAAACTTAAAACTCGTTTTTCTCTTTTGCGAATGGCGGGCACGATAACTCAAAAATTAATAACCCAATCGATTCCAAATGTATACACGTTTCTCTGTGAGTGTATAACTATCTTATGAACTGGGATAAAGCCAATCGGTGAAGATATTCCTTATTTTTTGGTTTTTGGTAAAAAATCGGCGATTTTCCAAAAATATCTTTTCAAAGGTCCGCCATTTTGTTAATTTTAGAGCGAAGTCAACATCCGAAGCCAGACATCTACTCTTTCTAACACCGTTGGAATTTTCGTATTCCGATGTTCCAGTGAGGAGTTATCATGCCCGCCATCAAAAATAAGGACTTCTCTTTAATTGATTTACCAGCCCATTGAATATCTTGAAAAATTAAAAACGAGAATGGGTGGGGTTCCCTTAAATAAATTTTGCAATGGAAGAAAAATATGATAATCGCTTGGTGTCAAGTCCGGACTGTATTACGGATGTATTAAAACTTCCAACGTGGTGAAACACGACACCTGTTGGCCAATTCTGGTCGTTTCTGGTCAACTGCTATCTTCAAACGGTCCAGTTTTTGACAGAAGAGATCTGAATTTAGCGTTTGACGAAATGGAAGCAACTCATAATAAATAATTCCCATCCAGTCCCACCAAATGCATAGAACCACCTTCCTGGCCGTTAGTCCTGATTTCGCCACCGTTTGAGGGGCTTCACCACGCTTTTATCACAATTGTTTTCGCACAGGGTTATCGTATGTGATCCATTTCTCATCTCCAGTCATCATCCCTTTAAAATATGGGTCTATCTCATTCCGTTTGGCCTAGGCTCCGCAGATGAAAAATTATGCCACCCTATTTTTTCTGTTAATTGGTGTGGCACCCAAACATTAAATGGTTTAAAACAGTTTTATGCTATCCTACATGTGCGTCTTTAACATCAAAAATTTCTGAACGGAATCTACGAAACGAAAATTGCACATAATTGGCTGCTACTGTATCGGCATAGAGTTGTCTTTTGTCAGCAAGCAGGTTAAGTTCGAAGATGTGCTACATCGGCCCACGTTTAGACATAACCCCCATACTTTGTTCGTTATCAAAGTATTTTGGATATTTTGAAATTTGGTATAATGGATTCTTATTGGGTAACAATTTTCTCTACTAAAAATTACAAATATAAGTCCACTTTTTCCGGTAGCCCTCATACAACGGTAACCCAAATTGTCAGTATTTTGAGGGTTTCAACCAAATTCGATGTAGTTGGTATTTTGTTTTCGTATTTGGTAACAAAAATTCATTCAAAAGATTGTTAATATTCGCCCTAAAGCTGAACCTATTCCGAAAATTTTTGTGAGGAATTTTCCAACTCTCTAAGAAATTACAAATGGGGCTTTGTCTGAGGTCTGTGCAAAATTATTCCATTCCATGTTCGTTATCAAAGTATTTTGTGTAGAACATGACATAGTCAACCACGTCTTACTACCTACTGTACTTGTAAGATTAATATTAATAAATTGTCCATATGAAAAAAATGCTCGACTACATCCAATACTTTATTATACACAACAATGTTGTAAGGGTATTATAGCTTTGTGTGGCCCCAATAGTTTGTAACGCGCGAAATATTGGTCCTAGACCCATCTTTTAGCACACCGATCGTTATATCGACTATCTGATTTAAACATGTGTGTTCTTCCGTCCGCCCGCCTGTTCTTTATAATCTGTAAACACGATACATTTCACGGTTATGGACCAATTTTCACGAAATTTTGCGTATAGGACCTGTTCTGACGATAAAAGACCCCTATTTTGGAAATGATTATTTAATATTTACGGGATGAAATTAACCAAATGAGTTATGACCTGAACACCACGAAAATATATATGAAGAAGGGGATCAGGCCATGCCTTGATAGAGATAGGTCAATATTTAGCGGGTCAAATGAACCATGACTTTTTTGCGAAAAGTGGCAACATTTGCATTCTATGGCATATATATTTAACCCTGAAGGACATAGACCGAATAAGTTGATAGTATCTACGAGGAGTGGTTGGCTTTAAATTGTTCTATCTACTCGGATGCGAGAGTAACACGTTAATATTTACCGCATGGGTAGACCCTATGCTTACATTGTTAGTATTACCATTTTCATACCTGGAGGTTCCAGTTATGGCAAAGGATGACGCATGTTCATCAGATTATATTTAGGTGATGAAATAAATCGAAAATTTTATTTCTGTCTGGTTTTCTAGTCGCTTTAGAAGCCACATTATGAGCTTAATATGACCTATTTACCATGGGGAAGGGGTGCGACCAATTAATTAGAATCAATTATCAGTTAATATTGAGCGGGTCAAATGAACCGAGACTTTTGTCTGCTAAATACCAAAATTCTAATATTATGGGAAGATGTGATTCGGAAAATTTTCTAACTGTTGACCTCTGATCGGTCAAGAGCGTGCAAATATTGCGAAATATTACCAAGACTTGGAATATTAATCCACAGAAAGTAAAAGTTCAGTGGTAGTTATGTAGGGTATCATAAATGTCGGCCCGTTCGACTATACTGCTCAGTTCACGGTTTAATATTGACATTAAATATAATCTGACAAATGAAAAAATAACCCTATATGACTTCCAGTTTCTTCCATGAACAGTAAGCAATCGTTTACTTCCAAGGTAAGCAACCTTACAAAGGATTGCTCAAAAAGAACCTCCAAATAATTACATACCTTTAAATGAGGATATTGTTATTGGATGATTAATACCTACAGTAAGCGTCAATTAAAGTCAATTCTTGTTATCTATTTTGTAATGATCGAAAAGTCTTCCCATCGCATATTTTTATACATGGTATAATAATAAAAGGTAACAGCAAGTGTTGTTGTACAAAAAACGATACAACAACCACATGGAAATTTGTTGTTGTAAGTTCTACTAGTGTCAACTCATTTGACAGAAAAATGTAAACAAACAAATAAATTATCATCAAATTATTTTTATTTTGAAAATGGAATATTTTCGAATCCTCAAAATAAAAATTGAAAAACATGAATGAAAATCTATCAAATTTATATTTCTATCGCTTCCAAATCTTTCCTTTAATTGAGCCATTGCCATATATATGTGTAACACAAATGACAATGCTGGGAATAGCGAGTAATTCCTTCAAGAAAGATTTGCTTCCTCAAACTTTCCCAGCAGGCAGATTGAGTAAATTGAATGCGGGAGCACATTAATAAAGAACAATTTCAAATTGTATGCGTTCCAAATTTTCCTGTTGGGTGATTTTTAAAAACATAATTTGTCAAATTCATATTGACACTAGTATTACATTGGAATCAAATCAGCTGGGATTTGCTGTTACCTTTTATAATTGTACCATGATTTTTATATTAAATAGTTTTTATTCTTTGCGTCTCAAATGAAATTTGAATACTTTTTAATGACACCCTCTGTACATTGGGAACACGTTTACCCATGTAAGGTGTATGTATACCACGCACATGTTCGCATTGTTGTTCACACGTCGAAACAACAAGTTTTACGCGCGAACACTTAATGAATACACATTAGGTGGGCATAGTGACTTTCACTTTCGATTTTTGTTGGCATTGAACTTGGATAAACTCAGCTTTACAATACACTGCGTCATCACAGCAACCTCTTTTTGAATTTTTAAACTGCAAGCTTGTGTCAAATTGTTAACGCATTGTAAATGACGGACGCTTTCAGTTAAAGCTATTCACATTTTATATGAGATTAACTTGTTGATGGCGCCATCTATGAACTAATGTAAACACTTTTTGGAGACGGGCTTTTGACAATAAAGCTTTTTTGTGATTTGTGTCGAAACCTTTTTTTATTTTATTTTTAATTTTGTTAACAGATTTAATTAATTTTAGATTATTCAATACTGAAAATATTCAATGTTATAAGTGAAAAAATATCATCAGCTTTATGTAACAATCGATTTTTTATGATGATATCCTAATTTAAAAATGGCTTTGCTAAAATTTCCTGGCATACATGATAAAAACGCCTTTTAAAAAAGGCATTACGCGTTTGGACCAAATATTTTTGTTTTGTTTTTAGGAATCCATCTCTTGTCCTTCATATATATATATATATATATATATATATATATAATCTATGACTTTTGACCCCTCTATTTTTCAATAAGTAAAAAAACGTTATTAAGTTCGGTTTCCAGGCCCACTTATATATACCTCCCACCATGTGGTGCGCACTCAAAATCCCTAAGTCGGTACATGGGGACATATTTCTAATAGGTTGGGTTAGGAACTTCAACATATTGACCATTGCGAGGTTCTATAATGATTTTTTTTTTTTGGGAAAAAGTATTTTATTCACCAGTAATCTAGAATGTCAAAGTACAGACACTTCGGCGTAAAACATCCCCTATACCAAGTAAAAACGTGTCAGTATGAATGTAGTATACACTTTTCCTGACTTTTGTATGTTATTCTGGTTTGAAATTTGACATTCCGTTTGCTACACCTCGAAATTTTACCGGAGAACCCATAGAGTATATATATATTCTTGATCAGAATAAAATTCTATGAAATTATGCGTGTCTGTCTGTGAAATCACGATAGAGGTCGCAATATTTGAGATTGAGCTCTGAAGTTTTGCAAATACATTGCTAGTACTAGTGTTGCCCCCATATAATGATACTCCCCAATACTCGGTATTTTGGACAGGTTTTTTAACCGAATTGCTTGCAATGTGGTAGTTTGGGTTCTCATTAAATAACACATATCCGTGGTAAAAATTATTAATATTGACCTAAGTTTTAGGGTGTCCACAATATAGCGGTACTCCCCAGGATTCATAATCTGGAGATTTTGGACACGTTTTTCAACCGAATTGGCTGTGATGCGGTATTTTAGGGTCTCATTGATTAACACATATACGTACCTAAAATTATTAGTATTGACCCAAGCTTCAAGGATGTCCCCAATATTACGCTACCGCCCAATTCACGGTGTTTTAGAGGTTTTAGACATGTTTTCCAAATGAATTGGCTATAATTTTGCATTTTGGGTTCTCATGGTATAGCCTATGTCCATACTATAAATTATTAATATTGACTCAAGTTTCAGGGTATAACGGCACCCCCAATATTCGCTATTTTGGGGATTTTGGTCACCATTTCCAACCGAATTGGTTGTAATGTGGTAGTTTGGGTTCTCATTGAATAACACATATCCGAATCAGATTTAGAGTCATATGCGTGGCACGGGACAAATTTATGGAAAACGATTTATGGCTGCATCTGTACCAATTTCAACAAAACCCAATAACGTCATTTAATTCTCAATTTTATACGTTGTGCAAAATTTCGTGTTAATCGGACAAACATTAGGAGTTTGTTGCACCATTTATGTAAAATCGGACGAAAATATATATATATATATATATATGGGGGCTATACCTAAATCTGAACATATCTTCAGGAAACTTAGCACACATCATTCTAGACTCAATTCAGTACGCTATCACAAATTTCGTGCAAATCGAAAAATATATTCGGACTTTTGTGTACTATTTACATTAAATCGGACGAAATATATATAGGGTCATATCTAAATCTGAACCGATTTTCACGAAACTTAGCACACATCATTTCGATTTTCACGAGCACACATCATTCTAGACACAATTCAGAATATATAGGGTCTTAAGAATATATAGGGTATTTGATGCACCATTTACATTAAATCGGACGAAAATATACATTGTATAGCTCCAATGTATGTATCTAAATCTGAACCGATTTTCACGAAACTTAACACACATTATTCTACTCTTAATTCAGTATGCAGTGCAATATTTTGTGCAAATCGAAAGATAAATAGGGACTTTGATGCACCATTTTCCTTAAATATATATGGGAGCTATAACTTAATCTGAACCGATTTTTACGAAACTAAGCACACATCATTCTAGACTCAATTCAGTATGCTGAGCCAAATTTCATGTAAATCGAGAGATATATAGGGTCTTTGGTACACCATTTACCTTAAATCGGACGAAAATATATGGGAGCTATATCTAAATTTGAACCGATTTTTCCTAATTTCAATAGGGTTCGTCATGCAATTAAAATCATAAATGCGACCTGCATTTTGTTTACAATTTTACATGGACGGACAGTCGGACATGCATAAATCGACTTAGAAAGTGATTCTATGAATATTCTGAAAAGGAACCATGTATCTATCTCGTTTCCTATTGTCTGTTACAAACATATGCACAAAGACATACCTGTACCCTGTACCACAGTGTGGTAAGGGGTATAAACAGTTAATATTGACCTACGTTTGAGGGTAGCTCCCATAAAATATCATTACATGAGTTAGTTCCTATTAGCTCCCATTATTTTAGATCGTTAGATCGTCATCCTCGTGGTGGAGGAATGTTCGGCTCGGCCTCTACTAACCCCATTAAAATATTATTATATAATTTAATATGTGATATGTATTCCCAAAAACTGATTAACAAAGACATTGTATACTAGAGATCACACTTTTATTAGGTCACAATATACATTTCTCTATCACTTATGGTCAGGCATCGTCATATTTGTAGTTTTACCACCAACCAGAAGAGCCTTTGCCATAAGAAGAACTGGAGGCATAACTACTGGCACCAGAACCGGCCCAACCAGCACCGCCACCAAGACCACCGCCAACAGATTTACCACCCCAGCCAGCACCAGAACTGTAACCGCCAGAAAGGCCACCAAATCCACCAGCTGATTTGCCAGCCCAACCGGATGAGCCACCACTGAAAGCTCCTGCATCAGCACCACCAAATCCACCAATAGACTTACCACCCCAACCTGCACCAGAGCCATAACCGCCAGCACCACCAAATCCACCAAGAGATTTGCCAGCCCAACCAGAGGAACCACTATAAGCACCAGCTGATGCTCCAGCACCACCAAATCCACCAAGGCCTCCAAAACCTCCACCAGATTTGCCAGCCCAACCACCGGCACCACCACCAAATCCTCCTACAGACTTGCCAGCCCAACCGGAACCACCAAAACCGCCACCGACAGATTTGCCAGCCCATCCAGCTCCACCACCATAACCGCCGCTACCACCATAAGAAACTGCAGGAGCAGTATAGAGAGCAACAGGAGCTGAAATTTTCGAAACATGGCCACCACTAAAGCCACCAGCGTGACCACCGCTAAAGCCAACACCGTGGCCACCGCCAAAGCCACCACCATGTCCAACTCCATGGCCAACACCATGACCACCTCCAAAGCTGCCACCATGACCACCGCCATATCCACCAAGTCCTCCGGCACCATATCCTCCAGCTATGGCTCCAGCACTTGCACTAGAGCTGGCACCACTAAAGCTACCTCCAAAGCCACCACCACCACCTGGCAAATAGCCGCCGTGGCCACCGGCGCTGACCACAGCCAATGAAGCCAAAACACAAACAAAGGCCTAAAACGAGGGAAAAAATAAATTGATGTCAGTGAAAAATATTCCTTTGGCAATATCCTTGTGCTCCTTCGCTTTACCTTCATGTTTCTAAATATCCAAATAAAGATGCTAATTCCAATGTTTTACTCGTAATGCTGTAAAGCATTTGAATATGATCACAATTCGAAAATTCTACAATTTATAGCAAAATTTTCTAAGAATCACAATTCAATCACAATACTGAAAGATATATTGATGATTTAATGATATTAAGTACGTCCGTTTTGTTGTTGTTGCTATTTTTGGCAATCACTTATGCCATTCATTGTTCGTTTCCATCTTCAGGTGGTTCCCTCGCATTTTTGGGTTTTTTCTACAATTAGCAAAAATTTTTAAATTTTTCTTCAATATTTTTTTGTGTGCATATCTTCCTGATGTTAGGAAAAAACGCAACTGACTTCTAAGTCTTCAATAATCTTATCGTATAATTGATGATGATTTTGTTTCGGACATTCTATTAATTATTATTTTTTTCTCAATCATCGATTTTTTTTCATTTTTATATTTAAAAAAAATTTATCTTTTTTTCTTCGTCTTATTCATCAATAATATATATCAGCGGGGTGTATTATAAAATATATGATTAGAAACAATTAAACATTATCAATCGCTTCGTCAATTATGTTATATCTAATTGTTGTCTCAGATTGATCGATAAAAACATTTGAAATTAGAACTTTACCGAATACATACATAAATCAAGGGCGAACAAGATAAATATCGGAAGTTGAAAATATTCATTTAACTTAATATTGTATGGAGATATGTTACATTTTGTGTTAGGCTCAAGCTAATTTAATAAACCTAAATTGAATTGTTTTGGATATTTGAATTTCAGACAATTTGTAAACGGTTTACAAATGTGTGTCTGGCAGGCTGGTGCGCACGATAACTCTCGAAGGGAATAACCGATTTCATCCAAACATTGCACATGGTAATATCCTGGGATATTTGCCGCCAGAAGCCGTCGATTGTCCGCGACTGATTATTTGATATTCACAGCAACCCAAAGAATAATATTGTGCCGTTAGCATTCAGCGCTGCCCCCCGTAGGCGGATTTTACCAAGCATTAATCAAATTTGAAGGTTGGACCCATTGATTCACTCCTTCTGGTAACTCCCCCACAAGCGGTCAATATTTTCTAAACTTGTAAATTTAATTAAAAGCGAATAATAGAATCTGTGTGTAATTCCTAAGACCTCTGCAAACCATATGCTGAGGGTATATATCAGGCGGCAACAACGCCTGTCACTTTTTTATTTGTTTGACAATCCAGACCAAACTCACACTTTATAAGACGCTGATACTACCCGTGCTAATATATGGATCAAAAGCGCAGGCAGATGAGGCAGCTCTTGGGGTGTTTGAGAGAAAAATTCTCCGAAAGATCTACGGGCCGATCTGCGTTGACGGTGAATATCGGCGTCGAATGAACCACGAGCCTTACAATTTATACGCGGACATCTACATAGTCAGTCGTATTGAGCTGCAGCGACTACGGTGGCTAGGCCATGCTGTGCGGATGAATGAAAGAGCCCCAGCTCAAAAGGCATATAAAAACCAGTGAGCGGAGCAGTATAGCCGGACGGGGCCGACCATACGATACCCTTCACAACTACCACGGAACTCAAATTTTCTGCGGATGTTTATTCCGAGCCTGGGCAATATTTAGTGATATTTGCACTGTCTTGCCCGATTAAAGATAAACAGCACCTCTTCCTCACACTGACATATTTTCCGAATATTAGTACAGCTATTGTCCAGATTCCCTTCACCGTGGGTTGTGTTGTGATGTTCGGTTTTCATTTGTGGTCTATAGACCGACTCGAAAATAGCACACAAAATTAAGTTTTCGGTCCACCTCATTCCAAAAGAATTATCTGATCATCACCGAAAGTTATAGGCGTTGTCCTTGACCATAGGTGGAACCTCATGGAACATTTCAAAGCGATAATGGGTTACTAAATAATATACGAATACGGAGATACCAGTAAATATTTAGGTGTAACTCTCACATCCGATAACATACAACAATATAATTGGTATTAATTTAAAGGTCAACCACTCCTCTTGGATATAATACCAACTTCTCGGGTCTATGTCCTTCAGAAGTAAATATATACGCCATAGAATATAAATTTTGTCATTTTTCACACAAAAGTCAGGGTCCATTTGATCCGCTAAATATTAACCGATCTTTATCAAAGGTAATGCTTATTCTTTGGCCCGATCCCCTTCTCCATGCAACTATGGCCTGTATCGTATTTATAAATTATAGTGGACAGACGGACGGACACACATGTCTAAATCGACTCAGCTAGTCGAGATATGACGATCGGTATACTTAAAGGTGGGTCTAGGACCAATATTTCGCGGTGTTACAAACTTTTGGGGCTGCACAATGCTATAATACCCTGACAATATAGTTGTGTAGGGTATAATGAGCCTATTGATGGTTCCCGTAAAAGGGGAAGGCCACGAATTAGATGGAAAGACCAAGTAGAAAACAACATCTTGGAACGTGGTCTTCTAAATTGGTGAACTTGCGCACAAGACCGACGCGCTTGGAAATCTTTTTTAAGCTCGGCTTATGGAACAACCGTTCTGTAACATGCCAGCTAAGTAAGTAAGTAAGACAATCCAGTTCAGATGGAAGTCTGGCTTTATAATTTCTTATGAAATAAAAGGTTTTTTTAGCTGGTCATCGACTGATTAATCTGACCTCTATTACTTTTCTGATAATACTTATTTTGGTGATTGTCAAATCTATGCGGTTTTGAATTTGACTAGAGGATGCAGTGGGATCAATATATTTTACACAATTATGCAGTAAGGTCGTTATAGCTTTGTGTGACCCAAGAGTTTGTAACGCCGCTAAATATTGGGCAATCTAGTTCACGTAGCTTATCGATCTTTCTCGTTCCTTTTTTAAAACGGAACTAGTTCCTTAATGTAGTTCCTTTGCTCCATGCAGTTCCTTTGCTCCATATACTTTCTTTACTCCATACAGTTCCTTTGCTCCATATAGATCCTTTGCTCCATATAGTTCCTTTACTCTATATAGTTCCTTTGCATCAAATAGTTCCTTTGCTCCAAGTAGTTCCTTTGCTCCATACAGATCCTTTGTTCCATATAGTTCCTTTACTCCATACAGTTCCTTTGCTCCTTATAATTCCTTTACTTTTTATAATTCCATTGCTCCATATAGTTTCGACTCCTACATAGTTCCTTTGAATCTCTCTCTTTCATCGTTCCTTTCGGTTTTTTTTTTGCTCACATAGTTCCGTGTTGAAAAAATAACGAGATCCATAAAGAACAATACCAACAAGTGAAAAAGCGGTAAGTTCGGCCGGGCCGAACTTTGTATACCCTCCACCATAGATATATTGACAGGTACTAGAAATGAAAATATAGGGAACATACCAAAAAGTGAACCTATACCGACATTTCTACAAACGGATTATGTAAACCATAAAACAAATTTTAGTAATTAAAGGATAATTATACCCTCAGCCTTATGGCTAATGAGGGTGTATACACTTTAACATGGTGAAAATGTGCCTCATCGAAATATTGGTTCTAGACCCCATGTTTCTTTGGACCAAATCCGTTTCAGAAAATTTAGATTTCATCCGAACTTTGCCCACCTTATTATTTCTTCCAAGCTTAGTTCAAATTCGAAGATGGGGAATATAGGTCCACTCCTTCTGGAACATCCAATCAGGGGCTAGATCTAAATGCGGCTATAGTTCATTATCGAACCTTACGTTCTAATTTTTTATCTCTCTATCCTCCGCAGATGAAATGATTACAAAAGAGTCTTAGAACCAAACTCAAAACGCGGAACTAATCAGCTAACTACTTTAATATAAAAAGGGGTTTATATGGGAACTACCCCAAAAAGGGGGCAAATAATAATAATTTGAAGTAGGGAGATTTGTTACCATATACGACTACAAAATACCAAATTGGGGGATATCCGAAAAAACTTGACATATATTTTTAATTTTATGTGGAGAGATTTGAAACCTATTATGAACTCGAAATACTAAATTGCAGCCAATTCGGTGGAAAATTACGATCAAAACCTCCAAAATACTGCAAGTTAGAAGGTACCGTTATATAGAGGCTACCAGAAAAAAGTGGACCTATATTTATAATTTTTTGTGGGGACATTTAGTACTAAATAAGAACCCTAAATAAGAACCCATTGGCGGACGGATAGACATGGCTAGATCGTCTTAGAAATTTACCCTGATCAAAAATATATATATACTAGCGGGCCCGGCAAACGTTGTCTTGCATAGCAATATTGTTGATGTATAATTCACATAACGATAGGCCAATAATAAGTTTGCTTTTTCTACCCTCCACGATTTGAGATAGTGCTCTGAAATTTGCACATACATTGCTACTACCTCGCAATATGAGAAGTTTTGACGATTTTTCAACAGAATGGGTTGTATTTGAACAGAAAATATCCGTAGCAAATATTATCAATATTGGCACATATTTCGGAGTACTGCCCATATAACGGTAGCAATAAACATTCCATATTTTGAAGATCTTGGGCACGGTTTACAACAGAATATCTGTACTTCATTTAATTTTATATATTGGATGATCATTGAGTAGAAAATGTTCCTTAAAAAATTGTGCAAGCTTCGGAAAAGCCTCCATATAATGGCACTCCACATTTTTGGAGATTTGGGCACGTTTTTCAACCTAATCAGCTGTAATTGGTTGTTTTATTTGGTAGCATGAATCCTACTTAAAATTGTCAATATTGGTCCACTCCTCTGTATTTTGGGGGTTTGGACACGTGTTTCAACCAAATTAGCTGTAATTTTATATTTTAAATGATCAGTGAGTACAAAATCTCCTTACAAAGAATTATCAATATTGATCCAAGTTTCCCGGGAGCACCCATATAATGGTAACCCCAATAATTTCTCATATGCTGTCAAATATTCCTACCAAAAATGTATATATCTCCATTCCCATTGTAGTAGCTAAAATATGTCATTCCGGGATATTGGAGGT